CTGTGAACGGATTTCACTCAGACTTTTATAGGATTGTTCGGACCCATTTTTATTGGCTGCTCTAATGGCCCGAGCAAGGGTCTTTTTTTGGCTCCTGCATTCAGCATCGAACCAACTTCCTTTACTGTGCTTGATGTCTTTAGATGGATCTGAGTGAATCAGATGGGGTTTGAGGGAGGTAATAATTTGTTGATAACCTTCTATTGGTTCGATAATGCTTTTGAGTATCTTGTCTCTGCAAGTTTCGAGAGTCGGTCTGGTAAGTAGGTCTATCATCTTATCGCCCATGGGCCCTGACCATTTGAGACGTCTGGGACCCGTGGAGACCAGGTCCAGCGGATAATTATTTGACACTCTGTCCTGCTCTACTTCTGTTTTTATAACTAATTTAATTGGGTGATGGTCACTTTCTGGGCACATATCCACTTTAAAAGTTTTGACTGCTGGTAACAACCCAGTTGAGATTATAAAATAATCTAGGACACTTCCCCGTCTTGCTGAGTGGTAAGTGTATAGTCCGGATGACTCCTCTAAATGGCTACCATTCATAATTAATAAAAAATGCTTGTAGGCTAGTAAGAGTAATTCCAACCCATTCTTATTAATTTTCATATCTCTTGAGTTTCTGCCAAGCGAGAACTGGTTCTCTAGATAAAGCCCAAAATGCTGCGCTAGATCCTCATTTGATTTACCCATCCTCGCATTAAAATCACCTCCTAAGACTATGTTCGTGTTTTCCAAGCCCGCGGTAATGTCTCCTAAGGCTGAGTCTAGTAGCCTCCATACCTCTTTGGCCGGAAACGTTGAGTTTACAGGGGGCACGTATACATTAATACACAACAGAACCTGGTTATCCCTGAATTTTATCTCTACTGCTAAAACATTATTGTTTGTATGATTGCTCATAATTTGACATTCAGCTTCTATCTCAACTGAAACAAAGACTGCTAGGCCCCCACAGCAGCACCCCCACTTACGTCGCCTCGAGGCAGCTACTGCAAAACTCCTAAAACCCTGCAGAGTGAGATTTGGGGTATCCTCCACCCAGGTTTCCTGTAACATAATANACAACATTACAGTTTTAAAAACAGAACAAACAAGATATCTCCAAGTCATTGCATATTATTTCCACAAAAGAAAGATTTTAAGGTTTATATGAAATTTTTGGGTTCATGGTTTCACAGCATGAGAAAATGATAATAAATTTATGCATTCAACTAAATCTTCTCTCCATAGGTACACAATGTGTAAGTTTCCCACTGTTATTGATGAAATTAATAAAAGGAAACCATTTTGAAAAGAAATGATTATTTCTGTTATTTTGAATGATTTTGAGTGATTATTTATATCTATTTTGAATAATAAATAATGTCAGCTTTTCCGTAAGTGCTCAGAATTGGTATTCTCTTATTTATTTCAATTTATTTCAATTAAATAAATATATTATTTATTTCAATGACCATATATTCAGGATTTAATGTGGATCAAAAGGTATGGCATCTTTGTTTTCTGGAAAGGCATAGAGGAGAGCAATACAGTGTTTTGTTATTATTTGGTAAAGACATATCAAGTATGGAAGATTAGTGTGTTTATTTTACAAGTTGATGCAGGTTAAATTACTGCCATGGAACAAAAATGGGCAAAGAATATTTTAAGCAGCATGCCTGATTTTGATGAAATAAGTAGGATCAAAAAGATGTGGAATCTTTCTAGATGATATCATTTGTTAATGAGTTTGCATGACCCTAGGGTGAAATCCTGAAGATCAAAATAAGAAAAATGATGTCTAGTAAACTGGTAGGATAGGTGCTTCTCCATCATAAGATATCAAGATGCCTTGTGCCCAGATTTTAGACAGAATTATATTAAGACAGTAACGTTAAGATATTTCACACCTTGGAAGTGCTATGAAAGATGCAGCATTAGAAGTCTCAAGTGGCTGGTATGAAGGGAAAGTTTCCTCGAATGAGAACATTTAAGGGTCTGCATTTTTTGGAATATGATGTACTTGGAAATTTTGGAAAGTGGTATCCAATAAACTCCTTCTATCAGTGGTATGTGGGGGTGGGGGGATGGGCCTGCCATTCCTTTAATAAATGGGGTTGTTGTAGTCCCCTAGAATCATAGAGCTGGAAGAGACCTCCTGGGCCATCCAACTCCCTGCCAAGAAGCAGGAACATTGCATTCAAAGCACCCCCAACAGATGGCCATCCAGCCTCTGTTTAAAAGCTTCCAAAGAAGGAGCCTCCACCACACTCCGGGGCAGAGAGTTCCACTGCTGAACAGCTCTCACAGTCAGGAAGTTCTTCCTAATGTTCAGAAGGAATCTTCTTTCTTGTAGTTTGAAGCCATTGTTCCGCGTCCTTATCTCCAAGGAAGCAGAAAACAAGCTTGCTCCCTCCTCCCTGTGGCTTCCTCTCACATATTTATAAATGGCTATCATGTCTCCTCTCAGCCTTCTCTTCTTCAGGCTAAACATGCCCAGCTCTTTAAGCCGCTCCTCATAGGGCTTGTTCTCCAGACCCTTGATCATTTTAGTCGCCCTCCTCTGGACACATTCCAGCTTGTCAATATCCCTCTTCAATTGTGGTGCCCAGAATTGGACACAATATTCCAGGTGTGGTCTAACCAAAGCGGAATAGAGGGGCAGCATGACTTATAGACACTATACTATTGATGCAGGCCAAAATCCCATTGGCTTTTTTTGCCATCGCATCACCTTGTTGGCTCATATTTAACTTGCTGTCCACAAGGACCCCAAGATCTTTTTCACATGTACTGCTCTTGAGCCACGCGTCCCCCATTCTGTATCTCTGCATTTCATTTTGCTTAGCTCCATCTAGCTAGTGCTAAGCAAATTCAGTTCAACTCTCAGTATGCTTAATTTCTAGGTAAAATTAGCATACATCTGTCCAGAGGTGTTTTCTATTTTCATTTGGGATTTGACAATAAAGAGATTTTTTTTTAGTATCTTGAACTCATTTTTAAAAGGCCATTTGAGTTACAATAATAATGTAATACAATAATTGCATACCAGGGAACAACATAGTTAAAACAGCGAGGTAGAACAAACCACTATTAAAATGCATACAACAAGTACACACAGGTAAAATGCAGCTTAATATTAACCGGTAAAGTGCAGGTTTACAAACATTCACAAGTTAAAGTTGACTGGGTAGGCCTGCTGGAAGAGACAGATCTTCAATTGTGTTTTGAATTCCGACAGCTGATTTAGCTATCAGATCTTTTCCAGCAGGTGAATCCACAGCCAATGAAAAGTCATCAGTTGGGTTTTACACTACAGAAGATGCTAAGGTAACATAATTTTAAAAAGTCCTATTTCAGATGACTACAAAACTTATTCTAAATATCACTACTGGCTTACCTTCATCAGCGTCCCTTGCAATGACAACTGCAATTGGAGTATTTATTGTAGTGTTATCAAAGATGGCGACTGCACAGTGACTGGGGAAGAATCTTGGAGCATTGTCATTTGCATCCTCAATGTCCACAATTACGTCCATCTGGCAAAAGCGGCCACCTCCATCTGATGCCTTGACAACAAGCTGGTACTGAGGCTTCAACTCCCGGTCAAGTAATGCAAAAGTGGTCAGCTCCCCTGGTGCAAACAATGAAGGACAAAAAAAAAAGACATGGTGGGCCTTGGTATCTGCTGCATTCATGGATACTTAAGTCCCATTATATGCAATGGCAAAGTAAAATTATTTTCCTTATATAAAATGCCAACATGAAAGCTTGCTTTTAAAGTTTTTTTGAAAATATTTTCAAGCTGTGGATCGTTGAATCTGTGCATTCAGAACACTAACTGATATCATAAACTCTTTCATGCACAATTAATTTTTATCTAATGTATATTTTCCTTGAATAGATTAAGAAAGGGTTCTTAGCATATGGGGAAAACAATGTATAGAGATTGCTGGCCCTTCTCTGAAGAAATTATACTTTCCTCTACTCAGCAGCCCCTATTTAGAAATATATTCAATAACTGTTCTGTTGGGGATTTCTGTTTTCATAAGTGGCTTTATGTATTTGGAAAAGAGACTTGAACATTCATGCAATGTCCATATGAAATAGAAATAACATTTCAAAAGCTTCTTCCAACTGGGAGAATTACAGAGGTATTCGGTTAAGTCACACCAATTCTTACCAATATAGAAATAACTTAAAGGTGACAGATTTTATATAAATCCTCCCATTTTTTTGACAGATTAGGGACTGAGTCACTGTCAAAAACTGAAAATGGTTCAAAAGTGGATCTTATTTTAGTTTGTAAATACAAATTTGAACACTAGATGGTGCACGTTGATGGTGGGAAAAAGCTTGCATGCACAATGTAGACAATGGCCTACACAAACCAAATGAGTGGTGTGGGGGTGAATGGTTTCTGTGGCATCCACATGACACACAAAGTCCATTTGCTTCAACACATCCTTGCCCCTGCATTTTAAAAAAAAACATGGGATGTTCTGATGCTTCCCTGAAGCTCTGAAGCTCATCTGCAATTTATGGCACTGTGAAAGGTTGGGCCACTTCCTATTTAGAAGTGACTGCAGCTGTTTGCACAGCCATCCTGCTCTCCCCAGGCTTGGAAAACACAGGGACATGGGGTGGTACTCTTCCTCTCTGTGTTGTTCAGTATGTAGCAGTGACCACCAAGCACGACACTGGTGGTAGTCCTCACTTGGCAGCTGTAGTGATGCTAGCCAAGTAACAAAGTGATTGAAGACGGGAGTGGGGAAAGAAGGGAGTGATCCTGCCTTTCCTTCCTCCCCTTGCTAGCACTGCTTCATTGTTCTTAGTGTTAGTATAGGTCCCAAACAGCCACTGCCCGGAACAGCAGGGGGAAGGTAAGTGTGGCAGTCTGACAGTGCCAAATGCTGGGCTGCGGGAATGCAATACAGCTGCTGAGCCAACTTGTTGCTGCACAGTCTGATACCTGCTAGCCAGCAAGCCAGTTAAACAGTTGGTCATACAGGTTTCAATGGCACCAGAGTATTCCACTCCAGATCAGCATCACTGTTTGTGGCACATGTAGATAGCTCCTTTGAGAGGGGAAAACAGAGTACTTAGTAGTGTAATGGGGAGAAAAACCAGTGCATGGTTGAAACAACAGATTAGGGATTGAAACGGTGGTATGTGGCTATAATTTATATCTGTCAAAAGAGAGAGTAGTTGAAAAGCAAGTCATCAAAAGATGGGGGATGTCTGTAGTACCATAGTGATGCTGGCAGGGAACTGGGATGAGGAAAGCTTCACTCCAAGCAATTCTCAAAAGAAGCAAAATTTTAGCCATTTTTTTCCCTCAGTAAGAAAATATTTGGAAACTGTGCAGTTCTTGATGTCTATTTGCAGTTCAGGACTTTTCCTGTCTTGTTATCTCAGCTATTAGTGTGGAAAATATTGGATTTTGATATATTTTTTTATTTCAGAATTTGAGATAAGGGATTCTCAATCTGTATATTTATATTTTTATCCTGTCCTTTTCCCAGTCCAGAACTCAAAACGAAATGCCTACTTCTTGCACAAATAGGCTTGGGGGCCAGGAGAAGGTCATCATTCAGCCTTCCTGATCCTCAGCATAAGTATGTGATCCACCAGTATCAAACAGCTCCTGTGTTTCAATTATCCTCTTACCTGTGTAGGGGTCCAGTCGGAAGTCTTCTGCACCAGGTCCATGGAGTGTGTAGATAATCTGCCCATTAATGCCAACATCAGCATCTGTGGCTGACACTTTCAAAACAGAAAATCCTTGCGAAGCATCTTCTATAATTTTCGCTTTGTATGGTATCTGGAAAAGAGACGGCATCTCAGCAAGCGATAGACGTGAATTTGTCACCACACAACTCACAGCACAAGTGGTTTGTCTCATGTCTGTTAACAAATGTTGCAGTTTCAAAGACAGGTGAATTGTTTCTTATATTACCAAAATCAAAGAAGCAAAAAACTGGAAGTAGCCATGAGTTGATCCTCCTTAGGGGTGGGCACCTTACCAAAAATGAAAAACAGACCAATCCAGGAGTGATCAGAACTTCATTTCTGGCTTTGACAAATTGATCATTTTTACACTGGGGGCTTTATTGTGCTCAGAAGCTTCCAGAAAAAAAAAATCCTCTTTTTTATCACTGCCAACACATCTTTGGGAGCTGCTGCTAATCCAGGGTCGCAGTTGACAGCATCCATTTATTTAATCTCATCTAATCTGGAATGCTAAAAATCAAAATGAGTCCACCAGGAAGTTGAGTCCCTGAATTCAGGAAGAATACTTTTTCAAAAAATCAAACTCCCAGAATTCTTCTGCTAACATCCTCAACAATTCTGCTAGTTGAGTTGTTTCCTGATTAGTTATGTTTTATTTGGGAAGGTTAATCCTATAACAAAAGTGGAGCTAGAAGATTATTTAAATGTATAAACATTGGGAGCCCACATAGGATGCTCTGAATTTTATTGAAAAAGAGTGAAATCTAATGAATAAATATGTTTAGCCATAGAACAACCTCTGCCATCTGATGAGAAAGTGAAAAATGAGAAGAGAAAGCACATGCCCACTACAAATGAGAAATGGCTTCAAAATCCAGGGAAATCTTAACATGTACAATGCTTCATGCAAATGATCCTTATAACGTATGATTTATAAAATGTTTAACTTATACCAAATGATCTTCAAGTAATTTTTTGCTAAGGTAAAAGGAAAATTCTCTTGGGCAAAGATGAGAAAAGGCTGTATGCAATTCTGAGCTCCATTTTGCAACCTCCACAGCCTGCCTCTTTTCATTTTTTTCTGGTGCCCCTTTTTGACAAATTTCATAGATTAACTGACTTCTGAGAATCCTCCTCAACTCCTCCAGTGCTTTAAAATGACTGGATCTGTCTGGAAATAGTGACTGAGTGTTAGTCCCAGATTCTATTTGTCAAAGCTTTTCAACACTCAAGGAGCATATTTATGGCCATTACAAAATATTTTCAAATATTCTTCCCATTTCTAATTGCTCCTTTTCTGTAATAACAAAATATCTGGGTTCGGCCTTGCTCCTTCTCTTGCTTAACACAGAGGAGACCCAAAAGAATGAGGACATGCTTCATGTTACCTCTAAAGAAATTTGGGGGATGGTTCAATATTCCAGGCATGTGGAGTGAATGTGCCAGGTTGCAGTGTGTTTTCTCAAAGGTCAGCTTTGGCCCCATATCAGCACAACGAATAGACATACACAATCACCTGCTTGCATTCAGGGCTGTTATCATTGACATCAAGGACAGAGATCTCCACTTCAGTTGCTGCTTGAAACTTTCCATCAGAAGCTATAACTCTGAGCAGATATTTGTCTGCATCTTCCCGGTTCAGAGGTGTCTTGGACAAAATTTTCCATTCTCCATCAACCTCATTAACACTGAATTGTCCCAGAATATCTCCTTCTGATAAGGTAAGAAAAGCACAGTTATGAAGACAACACATTGTGGAAAATTAAGAGTTTCAGAGAAAGAGAGCCAGAAAAGAAAGTTGGATTGGTATAGTGGAGGGTGCCCCCAAATGTTTGGGTTGAAGTACTCATCCATATATGGACCACATATGACTTGAGTGAAGTCTATTAAATGTCCCTTAAGCTAGCCTAAATGTTCTGGTTAGGTGAAACCTGCTTGTCTCAGGACCAGGAGCAAAAGGGAGGGGGGTTTTGTTCTATCTAACTTCTTGACCCTGAATAATTGCACAAAATCAAATTACTATATATAGGCAGGATGCACAAAATTATTACAAAGCAGTAGTTTCATCAAGTACCATGTTTGGACCCAACCACAATTATAACACTACATTTGGGCCAACTTTGTGGTAACATGTTTATTTCAGTTGAAGTATGAGTAAAGCACAGAGCAAAGCAACCACAGGATCATGAAACAACAACTTGCTATCAACTCATATTGCCAACTTGCCAATTATGCCATGTGACTGTTGACTCTTTGCCATTAAATTGCTCTGGCTTTTTTTGATGAGGCATTTGTGATTGGTAAATGGAACATGTCATGGCAGTTGACTCCACATTTTATATCTATTATGTAAAAATAAACAATGAGCCAACTAACTTTTAGCCAGTTGGGATGGAGTTGTTAACACCTTTGATTAGTAAACACTGAACATGTGATAAGTTTAGATGATATTTCCCAGGAAGTGCATTCAGACTGAAACTGCTAAACAACTTGACTATATTTAATTAGTAGCAATAAAGTAGATTTACAACTATAGAATCATAGAGTTGGAAGAGACCACAGGGGCCATCTAATCCAACCCCTTGGTATGCAGAAAAAACACAATCAAAGCACCCTCAACATCCATCGAACCTCTGTTTAAAAGCCTCCAAGGAAGGAGTTTCCACAACATAATATATAATATCATAATATATAATATAGTTCATCGACACAGATAATCCATCAGCAATCTCTCACATAAAAAAATGTTAAACAAGGGATGAAGTGTGGGAAGTGCTTTCTGGGTTCAAAAAGCAAGAAAGTTGATATGTAGCCTTTTTTGTCTGCACCATTCACACACCTTCTGATTAAAATTATTTTGCATCATTTTTTTTAAAACAATCTTATATTTCTAACTGCAAAAACTTCAAAAAGAGTAATATTTAGATGTTTCATCTCCAAGAAAAATTATCAGAAATCAGACTTATATTAAATTATCAAACTATGAAGAAAATACATACCAGTTATATAACATGTGACTTGTCGATTTTGTTCTGAGATATCAGTGTCAATAGTTTTCAGAGTAGTAATCGTCAGCCCAGGCTCTGCATTTTCAACAATTGAACCTTTGTAGATTTCAGAGGTAAATTGTGGAGCATTGTCATTTTCATCAGTGATGGTGACCTCTACTAGGGTTTCAGAAGAAAGCTGAATTTTCCTCCCATGGTCGGATGCCACAACAAAAAAATTGTAGGTCTCCTGAACCTCACAATCTAGCTCCTTTAGTGTCATGATCCAGCCACTTTCACTGTCAATTGTGAAGAGTTCTCTGATGTTGTCTGATTCTGCTCTCAAGCTGTAGGTCACCTGCCCATCACTACCAGTATCCTGGTCATTAGCAGTAACTTGGATCACAGTAGTTCCTGTTGGCATGTTTTCCATAACAAAGGCCCTGTAGGGATTAGCTTCAAAAACTGGTTTGTTATCATTGACATCTTTGACATGGATATTGATAGATACCAAAGAGACCAACTCAGTATCTTGGTGTGAGCAGTGAGCTAAAACATCAATTTGGTACCATTTCATCTTTTCATGATCCATTGCCTTTTGAACGGTCAAGGCCCCTGTTTGCTCGTCCAAACTAAATATGCCTTCTTTATTACTTTCAGTTGTTGTCCCTTTAACCAGACTGTAGATGACAGGGTCCTCTGACACAGCTCTAACAGATCCTATTTCTGAACCCTCTGGGAGGTCTTCAGATGCTGAGAAGGTGTACAATGGCTCAGAAAACCTTGGCAATGATGCTTCCTTTGGAACAACATGAAGGTTGACCGGAACAACAGAATTCCAGTGTGGTGGTCTGGCATCTTCAGCTTTGACTTTAAAGTTCACTGTTCTGTTTTCTAATTCATTGAGGCTCTCCTTGACTTTAACAACTCCTGTGGCAGTATTAATCTCAATAACGTCTTCCACAATGACTTCCTCTACTGAATCAACAGAGTAAATGACATCAGCATTCACCCCTTCATCAGCATCATAAGCTAGTACTTGAATGACAGGGGACCCTTCGCTCACATTGGACTGGACAGACAAGACATATTCAGAGGCTTTGAACTGAGGTGGATTATCATTTTCATCTGCAAGTATGATTTTGACTGTGCAGAATGCTACCTTTCCTCCTGCATCCTTGGCCATGATTTTAATTGCAACAACCCTTTCTGTTGAATTTTCTCTGTCCAGTTTTTGCAGTGTTTCAATGCGACCCATTTCATCTATTGCAAACTTCTCTTGACCAAGCTTATTTATGATGGTATAATCTACAGTGCCATATGGACCATCATCCTTGTCAGTAGCTAACAACTCAATCACTTTAGTTCCTATTTCAGCATTTTCAGCCAATACTGCTTCATAAACATCCTGCTGAAAAGATGGGCTATATTTATTGACATTTGTGGCATTGATATAAACTGGTACAGTGGTCTTAAATACTCCATCTGAAGCAGAGACCGTGAGATCATAAAAAGGTTCCAGGTCCCTTTTACAACGGTTCAATGTGGAAATGATTCCCGAAGTGCTATTGATGGTGAAGTGTCTTTTCTCATTCCCTGAAAGTATCAGATATTCCAACTTAGATGTGTTCCAGCTGTCAGGGTCAAAAGCCTGGACTTTAATCACAACATGGCCACAGCTGACTATTTCACTCACATTGGCCTGATATTGAGGTTGACTAAACTTGGGTGGATTATCATTGACATCCAATACACTAATTGTTACCAAGGCTTCACTACTGAGAGGAGGCACTCCATGATCAATGGCCCTCACTTTGATGTGAAATTCCTGATTTTTTTCATAATCGATCAACTGAGTTGTAGTTATTTCACCTGTGCTGGAATCAATAGTGAAGAACTTTGATGCATTTGAACGTTCCTCCAAAATCTGATAGGAAATGAGCCTGTTTCTCCCCGAATCTTTATCATTAGCAAACAGCTGTATAATGGGGCTCCGTGGTGGCATGCTTTCAGACACAGATGCTGTGTAGACCATTTGAGAAAATGCAGGTCGATTGTCATTAACATCCTCAACCTCGACTTCTACTACTGCTTCTGAAAAGGCACCCACTGCTGTGTCTGTGGCTCTAACTGTAAAGGCATGTTTTGTATCAGATTCATAGTCCAGCTGGCTAGTGACCATAAGCACACCAGTCTTGAAGTCAATGTTGAATTTTTTCAGGGCGTCTTCTTCCACGATGTTGTATATTAAGCGCAAACCTTCAGGACTCCGAGCCTGGATGTGGAGAATGGGTGTGTAGAGTGGGATGTTCTCAGGAACCTTGACTGTATAGAAGAGGCTCTGGAACAAGGGGTTGGATTTGTCCCTCACAATGACTAGGACCTCTTCTTCAGCATACAAGGGAGGCTCACCAGCATCTCTGGCAGTAACCTGGAGAATGTATTTATTTAACGCCTGATAATCAAGGGGTTTCTTAAGTGAGATGTCTCCTAAGTATGGGTCAATCCAGAAGTATTTGTAGTCTTCTACAAAGGAGTAAAAAACGACACCATTATTTCCCAAGTCTTTGTCAGTTGCAGACACCTGAAGGATGACATCACCTGGCTCAGTGCCATCTTGGATTGCAATATAATAAGGCACATTTTCAAAATGTGGAGGATTGTCATTAATATCATCCACATGTATTTTTACTATGGCCTGAGATACCCTGGGTGGATTTCTAAAGTCCTTTACCTCCACTGCAATCTCATACGTATCCTGAGTTTCATGATCAAATGCCACACCCTTGGTCTGGAGTATTCCAGAAGACTTGATTATCCTGAACCATTCTGTGCTGTTCAAGATAGAGTAAAAGAGTGGCTCATTCAGTTGATTGCCAGTGACATCAAAAACAACCAGAGTCTGAACTTCTGTGGAGTTTTCCTTCACTGTTGCTGTATATAAATCTTGACCAAATCTTAAACTGCTGACTTGTGCTTCAACAAAATTGATTCTAACCAATGCATTAGTCGTATATAAGCCATCACTAGCTCTGATGGTGAGTTCATGATAGTGGCCTAAGGTAATAGCATTTAGCACAGAAATAACGCCAGTTGTAGGGCAGATGTTGAAAATGCTGTCTTGATTTCCATCAAAGATACTGTAGGTTATTTCCGAGTCAACATCTTCTGCATGTACTGTAAAAATCTCCATATTAGGATGGACAGGAAGTTCTACAGAAAGTTCATAACTATCTCTTGTAAATGCCGGAGGACAATCGTTTACATCCTTGACGTAAATGGTGACTTCAGTGGGTGTGGAAGCGAATAAAGTGGGGTAACCACTGTCATGTACGTGAACGCTGAAGTGGAAAACTGGGGAAAGCTCATAATCAATATCAGCACAAGTTATGAGAGTGCCCATGCCTGGATCTATTTTGAAAAAATCCAGTACCTCTGGCTGCAAAATTTCATAGACCAACAAACTATTTGAATCTTGATCAGCATCTGATGCACGTATCACTAGTGGAGAATTGTTTTCATCCATAACCATGCTACCCTTTGGGACATTCTCTTTGATCCAGCCAACAACAGATGGCTTATCAAAGGCGGGTGCATTGTCATTCTCATCTACAACAAAAACAAACACTGGAACTTCCACAAATGATCCTGCCATGTTGGTGCCATGGATCTTCAGTTGGTAAGACGAATTCTGCTCAAAATCTAGATTCTTTTGCAGAGAAATAAGGCCAGATTGATAGTTGATAGAAAATATGCCATCCTCATCTCCTTCTTTAATTTCATAGGTAACTGAAGAAAGGCTAGTGGCTGAAACAAGAATAACAGAAGAGCCAATAGCAGCAAATTCACTGATCTCTACAACATACTGTTCCTCAGAGAACTGTGGAGGTGTGCCATCAGAGGGTTTAATGTAAACATTCACTGTAGATGAATCCTCCAGTTGGGGAAATCCTTGGTCTTCTGCCTTTACAGTGAGTGTGAATCTCTCTTGTTTGGGGGGATGGAGCTTCTGAGAAATAGTAATAATTCCAGAGAACTTGTTGATGGTGAAGAAATCTCCACTGTTGCCTAAAAACAGATAAAGAAACTTAAATGATATGGAAAATCTAGTTGTGAATTGCTATTATGTTTATCTGTTTTCATATATGCATCTAGTTTTAAGTACAGCATTATCCCCCGGTCTGTGAGACCAGTATCTATGGTTTCATTTATCCACATCTGACAACACCTGACCCCTCTAGGCATTTTCTAGGTCTTCCAGCATTACTTCTATGGTATTCCTGGGCCAAGGGTCCCTCATTTGAATAGGTTTAACTACTATCCATGATCCTGTGAATCCACACAGTGCTCATTCTAGTTAATGAAATGGATGATCTTGCATATAATAAAAGAGACTTTCTACAGATTACAGAGAAAGCAATAGTGTTAATGGTGGAGTCTGAAATGAACCTAATTAACTCAGAAATAACCTCCATTAAGGTTAGGGGGACTTAATTCTGAACAACAACTACCATCTTAGAGATAAAAGATTCCACTCAAAAGGATTATACAGGCAGTCCACAAATTATGAACAAGGTAAGTTAAGAACAAAGCTTAACTTTGAATGTGACTTTGAATGTAACCTGACTTTGAATGTAAGTTGGAACAGAAACATTTTAAAATATAACTCCCTCTGTGTGTGTGTGTGTGTGTGTGTGTGTGTGTGTATAGCATAGGGAAGGGTGAACACCCCTGTGATGTTTGTTTTGCTGTCTGTGTCCCAATTCAGAAGATTTCACCTTGCTTTTCATCCCTGTTGTGGGAACAAGGATTGGCGAGAAAGCTTCAGTGGAGATACCTTTTCCCCATAACTCCTCCCAGAGTGAATTCCAAGGGGCATATTCTCTCACTTCCTATTGTCTCGCCTCTGTTCTTAATTATGAGTCATTTGTAAGTTAGATGTTTGTAGCTTGGAGACTGCGTGAAATGAGTTGCAATTCCTTCCAGGCCAGACTTCACTTTGTTCAAAGAGATCTACAGAATTTGGAACTATTGCATATTTGCAAATTGGGAAAGGCATCAGTAAGAGATGTTAACAGATCAACGTGCTGAATTCAGGTGGTTTCTGATGGCTTGGAGATATGAAGCAGCAAAAACTGATAGGGAAGCAAGTGTATTTGTAATAACACAGTAGGTCCAAAAATATTCATAGTTCTGGGCTTGCAATTGTGATTTGTTCAGCAATTACCTATTTGTATTTTTAGAAGGCAATGATGTCTAGAATGATCAGGGTGAAATTGTTCTGCTGAACATGATACAGCCTGCACACATGTTACAATGTGGTGGAAAAAAAACAACAACAACCCCAAAACAAAACCATTATTGGATAGTATGAATAAACCAACAGAACTGTTTAGGAAAACTTTGCTTTCTTATGAAATGACAGTCTGCAGTCATTATATTCCAATACATGGAAAGAAAATGCCAATAGATACAGCAAACAGATTCATGAAACATCAAGCTGATGACTGTTCAAGCAAATGGATTTGGACAACAGGTATACCTCAGTTAAGAAAGTAAATTTGTTCCTGGAAATTATATCTTTAACAGAAAAGTTGGTATTACAAGCAGAAAAAAATATGGAAATAAAGAAATCTGATCCTACATCATAAAGTTCCATATGTGTCAGCAAACTTTTTATTCAAAATCAATAATATGTACAAATGAATCAGGTCAGATAAGCTTTGCATAGGTTTTTGAAATTTCTAGAGACTACCAGATACTTTGTCCAGAATTAATCCAAGGATGACTTTTTCTTATCAGCCTCCATTTTTCTTATCATTTCCTGTTTGGTGGTCAAATCTATGCTTTTTAAATTATAGTGGAGGGCAGCTGTTGAGGTGACAGACCTGTTGTCCTTTCTCCCCCCTCTTTCGCTGTTCACACATGCTCAGTAAATGTTTCTGGATAGGGCTACTATATACTTTGTCTGCTGCAAGTAGGTACACATATCTAAAGTAGGACTGGGCTACAATAGCCCTTTTCTTGCTTGCTTGCTTGCTTTGTTTCCTGCAACATAACAACACTGAAAATTTGTTTCTCTTTAGCCCTCTTTCATCCTCCTTCCAGTGCAAATGCTGCTAGTAAATACCCAGCTAGACAAAGAATGAAGAAAAGTGGAGGGGCTGAGCAGGCATAAAAATGTAAAAAGAAACTTTGCTCTCAGAAGTTTTGTTAACTGAGGTATGCTTGTATAGTTCAGATATTAGAGAAGAACATACTTAATTGCCACTGTATTTATATGTGTGTGTGTGTGTGTGTGTGTGCTATTGTAATTTTTTATGCTTATATTGCTTTGTTAATTTTATGTTTATGTTGTTTACATATTGATGATGTTACTTGGAAACCGCTTTGAGTCCCCTCGGGGAGATAGAGCGGTATATAAATAAAGTTTTGTTGTTGTTGTTGTGGTTGTGATTGTTGTTGTTGTATTTCTTCAGTTATAAGACATATTTTTCCATCATGGGATGCATCTTAGAATTGAAGGTTTATCTTATGGAGTGGTGGTGGTGGTACTGACATTACAGTTGATGGCATCTTACAAGTGAAGAAATACAATATTATGTAATTGGAATCTTTACTCATGAAAACAGACACTTTTTCACTGTCAGCTACAGCTCACTCAGTTCCCGTACCTGCTTCTAGGTAGTAGTGGATTTCAGCATTAACACCTTGATCCTGATCCAGGGCTCGCACTTGCACAACTTCTGTGCCTACTGGAGCTGAATCCAGGACTATTGCGTTGTAGTGAAGACTGGTGAACTGGGGAGCATGGTTGTTACTGTCTTCAACATAGATTGCAACTCTGGCAAAGTCTCTCTTGATTGGACCCTCCTGGTCTCGGACCTTTTAGGTAGAGAACATTGATATATGAATCTCAATATTAGCAAACAGAAGCAATTAACTCAATAAAATCTCTCTAGCAGCAGAAAACTGGGTGGAAAGTGTTTAAAATCAGCCTCTTTGATACCATTTTGATTTCATTTTCCTTCACTTGAAGAGAGTTCTTAGGTGATTGAACCCTTGAGCCACATCAGGAGCAGGGACATGGGTACAGCCCCACTTCTCATCTGACTTGTAGAACCAGTTTACACATATCCCACACACAAAGTGAAATTTGACTTTGCTTAGTAATGTGGAGGAGCAGTCAAGATTTGTGTACATCTGGGCAAGACTCCAGGGAATATTTGCTTGACATGCTCTCCTCCTTATCTAGACCAGCATTTTAAAAAAACCAAAACAAATGGGTGCTTTCCAGGTCAGCTTATCCTTCTTCGTTCAGCAGAATATTGCACTTTGGGTCTCTTTTATTTTCCAAACCACTATACTGAATTAGTTGTGAGCCTCACTGAACCCATGGGAGAGACAAATATGCATCAAACATCTTTCATGGCTCACTTACCATAACTGTCAATGTGTGCAATGACATAGTTTGAAAATCAAGCCCTGCCACTGTCATGAGTGCACCACTGCTGGGGTCAATCTGAAAGAGCTTCATGCTTCTGGGATCCATGCTGCTCTGAAGGGTGTAGATCAGCTCTTTCCCATGGTCTTTGTCAGTTGCACTGACTCGAAGGAATTCTGTTCCAGGAGGAGTGTCTTCAGGAATGTGAACCTCGTACTGGTATTCCAAGAACCGGGGAGCATGCTGGTTAATGCCAATCACCCGGACATAGGCCTATAAAAGTGTAACGAAATTGGTTAAGAGACAAGATAGATTCAGCTCTGGTAAAAATGAATTCTTGGATAGGAATATAAGTTTTCTCACAGAGAACATTTGCTTAAGATGTGGATTTAGTATACCAAAGTTTTGGATGCACGTTTCCTACCATGTATTATAAACATATTTCCCAGTAGGATGCAGAGAACCCCCCCCCCCTTTTTTTAAAGGGAACCATTATCTTGAATTACCTGCTTCAAACAGATATGTAAAGAGAAACAGTTTCCTATCAAACCTCAGCTATGAATACTGCTGGTCTTTTTGGTGCTCCTTTTTCATACTCACCCTCATAGCTCTTGCCTCTATTGGTCAATGCTGACATTTAAACAAAGCTTCAAAAGGTAACTTTTTGGCTGGGGGATTTATTTATTTACTTACTGTATTTATATACTGCCTTTCTCATGCCTGGGGGGACTCAAGGTGGTTTACAACATACTAATGGCAAAATTCACTGCCAACATACATGTAAAAATCATAATAAATACTAACATATAGCTATGGATTAAAATCATTAAAACTATTGAACACAAGACATAAACAACCTTTAAACATTAAGACAGAGTATTAAAACATCCTAGTTTTATTAAAATCACCTGATCCAAAACCATAAACCATAGCCATTCCAATTCTCATTGCACATATTCCCCAATTATTCTTTGTGCTGCATTATTTTATTGGCCAAAGGCTTGGTCCCACAACCATGTCTTTGTTTTCTTTCTGAAGGCCAGGAGCGAGAGTGCCAATCTGATTTTCTGGGGAGAGAGTTACAGAGCTGAGGAGCCACCACTAAGATGGGAAACTGAAGTCGAAACAATGTATTTCCCAAGCTATAAATTTAAATTTATTTGTATTGGTGACTGGGTGGTGGGAGTGGGGGATGATTTTATGTGAGATTTTTCATAGCTGTGAGGGCAGAGCTGGATATAGGACTTTCTGATAGGCCCCTTTCTCTATTGGTAGGTGCTTGGTGGGTTTACCTGACATTAATGGTAGCCAGAAGAGAAAGCTCTCAGTAACACTGGCACACCTTTTATTTCCCCACAATGTCACCATGTACACAAAGGTTTCCTTCTATTTGAGTTGATTGCTTTTCACTGCACAATCATCTCTTGGAAAAGACGGATTGATGCAACAACTCTCTCTCTTTAGCAAAATACATCTTGCTGGGACTTTGCAAGCGCAGGCTCCACACATGCAATAATGATTGCTGGTGCCAAAGTAAACAGAGGAAGAAGATACTTGGAGGCTGAGATATTGCAAGTCAGCCAAAGGTGTCAGTGGATGACTTTTGGTGCGCAGGACAAGGTTTGAGCACATTTAAACCAGCATCAGCCAACTACTGACTCACAAAGGAATGGCATTCCCAGCCTCTTTATCTCATACATTTCCATCTGTAACTCTAATGGTTATCAGTAAACAACTAATCTAATTAAATCCTTGTTGAAAACCTTGTTTTAACAGGTAAATCTCTTTCTGTATACTCCAACTACTAGTGACAGAAGTTAGTTCCCAGATGCCAAAGCCACGAAGGCATATTTGTACTGAAGCTCAAAAATAATGTGTTACATGTAATGTAGATACCTGTAACTAGTTACTTTTTTAGGTTAAAAAGAGGTATGATGAAATTGATTTTCACAAGCATAAAACGATAAGAATGATTACTACAATAATTACCGATTTCCAATCATTTTCAAAAGTTACTTTTAAATGATATCTTTAAATTGATTTTGACAGAAAATCACATTTTGTGATATTGTGTTATCAATCCTTTAAAAACCCCTCTTTTTAAAAAAATCAGATAGGAATGACAAGAAAGAGCAAAACATAATTACTTTTTTCAGCAATGTAATGAGAAATGGAAATGACAAGAGAGAGCAAAAGAGAGCTTTGAACACAGTAACAAGCTAATAATTATGTTGTTTTTTTTAAAAGTTGCTTTCCAAATTCTGTTCCAAACTATAAACATCCGGTCACTCTGAACTTGGCTGCTAGTGAAGAAGCTCTTAAACTTAATTGAGCTGGTAAAAGAAGGAAAGAAGAAACCTTTTCTGTCTCTCACCATCTGGCCTCCTCAGCTAATCTCTTCCTGTTCTTCCTTGTCATTAAGGAGGCTGTAGTTTTTGGTGATTGTACAATGAGGCGTCTCCATAAAACCTCCCAGAATTTTCAAATTCAAGACCATGGCTAGAAACGTGGAGCTTCCCCCACCCCCAAATATTTTCTATTTTGGTTGCTGTGAGTTTTTTGGGCTATATGGTCATGTTTCAGCAGCATTCTCTCCTAACGTTTTACCTGCACCTGTGGCTGGCATCTTCAGAGGTTCTTCAGATGGCTGCATGGCCATCTGTCAGTAATACTTTGATTGTGTGTTCCTGTTTGGCAGAATGGATCGGATGACTTCCAGTTCTGTGATTCTATGTATCTCTAGCCCTTTCTCTTTCTCATTAAAGCTCTCCACGGATTACCAAAAGATTTTGAAGAAGTTTGTTAGATGCTGACCTGTGTCTTGATGATACTGGATCCATCTGTAACTTCCACTGTGAGGTTGTAGTTGGATCTTTTCTTTGCATTCAGGATTCTTGCAATGACAATGCTGCCAGTGCTTTTCTCAATATCAAAATCCATTTCCTCATTGCCACCTTAGAAGAAAGGAAGGAGGACTTAGAAGGCAGAATTGGGAAAAATACCAGGTGCTTGAATACCAACACCTCCTAGAAGGATAAACCAGGTGGCAAAGCAATTATCACAGTTGGCAGCATTTCTTACAATCCCACTCACAGAATCTGATTAAAAATATTTAGAGGGAGGTGGTAAACTAGTGCAAAAGGTGGGTGGAGAAAGTGTCTATGAAAGGGCTGTATATCACCATGGACCTTGGTTTATGTGTCTGCATTTTTCCATTAGTGTATGGATGCAATGCCTAGCTTGTTGCTACAATGTCATTTCAGGTGAAGGGAAGGAATTTAAAATATCCAGAGGGAGACAGGAGGGCATGTTCACCTGAAAAAAAAGGAGGAATATGAAGGCAAATTAGCAGAGGAGAATAAATCTGCCGGCTTCATTACAGGGCGATGCTAAAACCCTCCTCCAAATTCTGTTGGGACTTGCCTCAATCCCTGGAGTCCTGCATTCCAATCTCCAATGCTCTCCTCAATTTCTGTAATACTTGCAATTGAATCAATTAAGCTTCAGGGGCTCCACAATGGCAAAGAACATGACTAACATGTTCCTGAAAGCCAGTAATTGTTGGGGAGCTCTCATTCATTAGTTTAGTTAGACAGTTAGTTTGTTAATTTAATTTATATCCAACCTTTTCCCCAACAGTAGACTGAAGGTGCCTTACAAGAAATTCAATGCAACAACGGCTTAAACTATGCACATTCCTGTTTTAAGGAGTGAAACCAGTAAAAAGGACAACTGCATTATCTAGCAGCCTGCTTAATAGATCAAGTGAAGGTTTCAAATGTGGATGGCTGATAAAAGGTGGCTAGCAAGTGTGCTTGCATAGCCTATGATTCAGTCAAGGCAATTTCATGTGATAGAACAGGCATGGGCAAACTTGGGCCCTCCAGGTGTTTTGGACTTTAACTTCCACAATTCCTAACAGCCAGTAGGCTGTTAGGAATTGTGGAAGTTGAAGTCCAAAACACCTGGAGGGCCCAAGTTTCCCCATGTGGAAGTTGAAGTCCAAAACACCTGGAGGGGCCAAGTTTGCCCATGCCTGTGACAGACCCAAGTCCTGAACAAATCATACTTATGGTCTCCCACATGTCTTCTGACTGGATGCATATTTGTCTGCTCCACCCTCTGCTGGATAGTCTCTCATGCTCTTTTTTCTCTCCCAACTATAGATTCAGATTATTTGCATGCATTTCTGTAGATATAACCATGAAGCTGTATCTACATGGAAGCCATTTCTGATTTATGGTAGTTTCTTGGCAAGATTTGTTCAGAGGGTTATCTTTGCCTTCTCTGAGGTTGGAAGAGTAAGACTTGTCTAAAATGGGTTTCTATGGCTAAGTATGGATTCCAGAGTTACAAGCCTGTACAACACTTTGGCTGTGAAGACTTATCCTCAATGCAGATGTTTTACCCTCTTCTTTTCATCTCTGTGACTGAGAAGTTTTTTCCTGTACAACCTGAACAACACACACACAAATACCTAACCCAGGAGAATTTTTATTTCATTATAGTACTAGTGAAACATTATTACAGATTGGAGAATGCCACTTTTTTTTTTCATCCTTTCATGGATCAACCCCACACTAAATTCTTCACTTCCGATTTCAGTCTCATTCTACACACAAGAAAGCAACAGCAACAAGAACAGCAAATAGATAACATTTTCAAAATGTCTTAACTATGGCTTTTTTTGCATTGGGTTACTTTTTTTTGTCTCAGAAAATGTGTCCTGAATTTGTTTTTCTTAAAAAAAAAAATACCCCATGCTGTTTTTAGGTGAATCATGATGCAGCCAAGTGGAGTAATATATTGTGATATTAACTCTGTTCAAAGAAACACTGGAATTCTCAGGGAATTCAACTGTGTACATTATTACCTAATCATAAAGCTAACTTTAACACTACCCCAAACCCTCAATCCAGTGGTCATCTCAATGGGACTTAAAAAAACCCCAACCATATACCCCAATATAAATTGTCTAAAAATAAAAATAATTATACCTGTGAGTTAATTCATTAATTAATTGAATATATTTCTGCCCCGCTCTTCTCAATGCCGCATTATAAATACAAATAAACAAATAAACACATGAAGCAATAAAAACATATAAAAACAATTAAAAAACAGATTAAAACATAGTACCTTGACTCATAGTCATCATTAGTGCTGCTACATTTGTGTCGCATTCCATATTGCGCTGTTCCTCAAATGCCTGGTGCCATAGCCAGGTCTTTTAACTTTTTCCTGAATACCAGGAGGGAGGGGGCCAGCCTAATGTCACTGGGAAGGGAATTCCACAGCCGAGGGGCCACGACTGAGAAGACCCTGTCTCTTGTCCCCACCAGTAGTGCCTGCAAGGGGGGGGGGGGGGGGGGATCAAGAGAAGGCCTCCCTGGCAGATCTTAACACTCTAACCTGTTCACAGGGAGAGATATGTTTGGACAGGTAAGTTGGGCCAGAACTGTTTAAATATGGGGAGAAATGGGAAAGAGGTATTTATAAAAAAGATGGAAAGGGATGGAATATTTCAGACAAGACTGGACAAAGAGCTTGTGCAACTAAACTATTTAAGTGGGCAGGAAAGGGCACTGACTTACACTATAAATTGCTCCTCCAGACAAGTGAAAGAATGTTTGCAGGGAGGGGGCCTTTGGGCTTGGAATTCAAGGTCAGCACTGTACATGAACTTGCAATGTCATTTGCTGTAATCCTATGGAAGAATTCCATGTTTTCTGGGGAAGCCATGCAACACTGAGCAATTGTAGAAACAGACGGCACTCCCAGCAGGGACGCGCTCTTGCGACATCCCAGATGGTTGTAAAAGAGCAGAGGGAAGTGGCTGCCATGTGAATGTCATTTTATCCAAGGATGTCTACAGTGATTCTTTGCTTTTGGTTCTTTATTCTGTGTGCAAAATGTGTCTAAAACTATGAAACAAACATGTCCACAAACACATGAGTTACTTTATATCATGGTCCTCTGAACAAGCTTGATTACTTTTCTGAAAAGTTCCCAGGACCATTCAATGTTATCATGTGAAGATAAGCCTTCTTATTGGAAAGGTAGCCTTTGATGATACTTTTAACAGAGTAAACAAAGAAGCTTGAAAACTTACATATATTACACAAAGCTGTACATGAGAAATGCTATGAATCTGGTGCAACCTTTCAGATGTATTGGCCCCTCCACCATGGGCCCACTCCTTTCTTGAGTATCTTAACTTAGACACTGTTGAAAGTTTGGACTTTAAGAGCTGTTCTACAGGGGCAAACCCATTGAAAAGAAACATATATTTGAGAGAAGAGATGAAGGAAGCATTTACTTAGTATTAGGTAATGCAGATTATTTCCACAGCCAATCAGATATTCGAGTCAGGACTTCCTAGGCCTGCAGCATTATATTTGAACAAAAAACTCTTTTTTTGCCTTTCATTCATTCAGTTGATCCTATTTTATTTATCTATAAACTGTTAATTGAACAGCTTAATATATTAACTGGATTAATAAACTGTTTCGGTAAGCCAAACATTCAAAAGTAGTTTAGGAGACAAATCTTAAAACAGATTATCTCAGATAAAGCTTAGCACACCATTTCGTTGACTTCTTCACAAAAATCAATTTCTGTGCTTTCTAAGGAAAGTACTATAAAAACTGCACAAGGCACCTCTATCCAATTGAATTCCATTATATTATTACTACTTTGATAGTATTTGATAGCTTGTATATGTTTATTTTATAGATGGTTTTATCTGTTATTTATGCTGATTGCTTTGGAGTTGTATTACTTTTAATATGTTGTAAGATGCTTTGGGTCTCTTTGTGGTAGAAAAGTGAGATACAAATAAAGATTTTATTATTATTATTATTATTATTATTATTATTATTATTATTATTGATGCTAGATGGTTTGTGGGTGAAAAGGGTCTTTGGAACATAGGAAGATTTGTTGTCCTATGATACCCCAAATTTGGAAAAAGATATTTCCTAGATTAGTCAAATGATAAGGCAGGATATAAGGGAGCCCCCGGTGGTGCAGTGGGTTAAAGCACTGAGCTGCTGAGCTTGTTGATCAAAAGGTCGCAGGTTCGATTCCGGGGAGCGGTGTGAGCTTCTGCTGTCAGCCCTAGCTTCTGCCAACCTAGCAGTTCGAAAACATGCAAATGTGAGTAGATCAATAGGTCCAGCGGGAAGGTAATGGCGCTCCATGCAGTCATGCCAGCCACATGACCTTGGAGGTGTCTACGGACAACGCTGGTTCTTCGGCTTAGAAATGGAGATGAGCACCACACCCCAGAGTCAGACATGACTGGACTTAATGTCAGGGGACTACCTTTACCTAAGGCAGGATATACGGTTTTGAAGTATTTTATTAATTTTGTCAATCTTTGATCCAGGAATTACATATTTACCACATGAGCTGTTAATTCTAGGAGCTGCTTAAGGATGTGGAAGTCAGTAGAGGTTCTATCCCAGGCATGGGCAAACTTCGGCCCTCCAGGTGTTTTGGACTTCAACCATTCCTAACAGCCTCAGGTCCCTTCCTTTCCCTTCTCAGCCACTTAAGTGGCTGACAGAGAAAAGGGCCTGAGACTATTGGGAATTGTGGAAGTTGAAGTCCAAAACACTTGGAGGACTGAAGTTTGCCCATGCCTGGTCTATCCGTTAGAGAAGTAATTAGCTCAATTCTGTACTGTGTTAAAAGAAAAAAAAATAACCTCCCATATCCTGTAGAGAGGGGAAAATATCATAGGACACTTATATGGAAACCTGATCTCAATATTTCAACACACTATGGATCAGCTTTCTGTACAACACCCACCATCCTATCATTTAACCCCGTGGAAGAACAGACTATGATTAATTTTGGCCCCATATTCACTGCCATATAATGCAGTTCTTTATATGGTCAGTGTAGACTCATATAATGAAGTTAAACTGCATTGAATGGCATTATATTAGTCAACACTGACAATTATATAACAATGTAGATGGGGTCTCTGCTATATACAGGGTGAATGATCACAACCATTGTTTTGGTACAAAACTACTTTTCCCCCATAAAATAGTACTTTTTATAAAATATACTCTGTGAGTAAAAATGGCTTTTGCACCAATGTAATTTTTACAATAAACACTCAACACGAGAGTTCAACATCTTCTTGGCACTGTGTCGCAATCTGTTAGGACACATGTAGGAGGAATATATTAGTTAGTACTCATTCCTTAAGGGACTAGATACACAAATGCACCAGATCCTGTCTGATCGTGGACATAATAAGGATTTGTTCTGGTTGGTACTTGAATATAGACCACCAACAAATACTAGAGGTTTTAAGCTGCATTTCAGAGGAAATAACTGGCAAAATCACATCTGAGCATTCATTGCATTTAAAAACCCTATGAAATTGTAGGGGTCACCATATGTCAACAGGAGAGTTAAAGGCGTAACACACACACATAGTTTCATTCCCTAATAGATATATGAATTATATCCCACCTGTATTCCTTGAGAGAATGGTTGCTACTGTGATTAATAAACCAAAAAACTCTGGTTTCAACCCAGGCAATGCTAGCCTCAATAGAAGAATAAACAAGGTAACAATTAAATGCAACAAATTAGTATTTGCACCAAGTGAACGTGGAAGCTAATGCCCCAAATGGTAAACAGGACTGACTAGGGAGAAAAGATAAATGTTGAGATTAAATTCCAAGGAAAATACCACAATGCTAGTAGACATCCCTAACAAAAAAAAGTAAACTTTCCACAAGCATTGTTAATTCTATTCTGTGTTGATTCTTGTTCTCTCTTAATTGTATTTGTACTTCATTATCCATGCCCAACTGAACCAAACAAAGAACTATTCTTTGGAGCTGCTTGAGAAGGGCAATTCTCACATGCCTACAATCTATCTGCCTTCAGGGATGGTGTTGCTATACAGAAGTAAAATAACTAACCTGCAATGTAATGCCAAAAATAGGAATTGCAGACTCAAAGATCAGTACAGATACATCAAAGATAACGTCATCCAGCACTGTCTGCTGAAACCATCATTAATGAATCAACCCTTTAGTGACAGAATATAGGCTCAATCTGACGAATGTTAATTTATGAAGTTATACTATCATTCTCCATGATATAAAGAGGATCAATGCCAAGAAATCCATATACTCTGATTCTACCACATTGCGGAAGAGCAAAATTATGTGAACAGAAGAAGAGCACTCCATTTTCAGGCAACACTCAGTGTTTTTCATGTTCCAGCAGGGCTCCCCAAAGCATTAGGTTTTGGCAGCAATGAGAAAGCCAAGTCATCACAGAGTTTAGGCTTTGCTTTCTAAATACTGCAAAATATCTTAGCCAAAATCTCACAGGACTCGTGAGTTGTCCGTTGTAAGATTTCACTGTGGTGAGGGCTGTACAAGGCCACGTTTATCTTCAGCAATGCTTGTCAGGGCAGCAATACAATTCCCTCACCCTTGCTTGTGTTCCTTGTTACATGCCAATATCGCCATGCTTATGCTGGAGGCTGAGGATGACTTTTCATATTGAGACCAGAGATGGTGTGCAATTTTCTGTCTCCCTGGGGATACAGACATGAGCCTCCTATAAGAAGTTTTATATGGAATTATAATTGCAATGACTAGAAGGGCTGTAAGAATGTCTTTAAAACAAGAGCCTTGTTCTGATGTTTAGTATGGAAAGGATCATGCAAGGAGAGAAATGTGTTGCTTCCTCTGACATTACTCTGTTCATATGAAAAGTGGCGGGTCTGAAAAGGAGAATCTCTCCCATCCATGAAGCCTTTCAAGATACAGTAAGTCAGAACTACATTTTTCCAAGACTGAGCAGAAAGCCTCTACATGTGGAAGAATCTTTTCTCTTCGTACTCGAATGCGGGGAAGTATTTCCTCTTCAGAGTCTCCTCATACGTGTGTGCATGTGTGCTTTCAGATCGCCTGTCGACTTATGACAGCCCCATGAAATCATAGGGTTTTCTTAAGCAAGGAATACTCTGAGGCAATTTGTTAGTTCCTCCTTTTGAAATTTAGACCACAGTCCCCCATATTAATTAGTGGTCTCCCATCCAGGTAAAAACTCGGCTGACCCTGCTTAGCTTGCAGTGGGGTCTGGTGCCTTTAGGATATTTAATCATACAACAGGATGCTTGGGTAACGTTAGAAATCTGAGTTCATACATAGTAAAAGCAAGACCACTGTGCTCCAATTACTTCTTGTCTATCACCAGAAAAAAATGTGCTGGCCACTCCACTAGAGTCTCTAACTCTTTTATCTTTGTACTTCTGCAAAAACAAGTAATAGCTGTGTATTTTGTTGTGCTTATCCATTAGAAAAGTATAAGACATTTCAGACTAGTGGGGCAAGACAGCACAGCAGAAAACAAACTAAATCCAATTGATGTTATCAGCCAAGAATTGATAGTAAATATATCTTCAAACTCATCATTTCAAGGCTTCCAAAATCCCTTTGCTCCCCTCCTCAAAATTTGGCTTGTTTTTATTGCTGTGGGGAATAGGTATGATTACCGCATATTTCCTGTGAGCCACAAAGATGTGTTTTTGCCCGTTCACAACACAAGAATTTTCATTCAGTTTGGGAGCAGGCCAGAAATACCATTTCGCAAATTACGATGGGTAATATAAGATCTGCAAAACACTTTTTGGTGGGGTGCTTGCATGTGCCAACCTGAACACTGCTCATTGCCAGGACTGAGGCCCTGACTCTAATAAGCCTACTGACTAAAATAAACAGCCTTTGTTAGCTTGGGTCATGTATGCGCCAGCTGCCTGGAGAACAGGAGTAACATTTTGTCAGCACATAGTCACCTTGAAGCTCACTTCCGAGTCGTGTGCCACTCACCTGTGATGTTGAACCAGAGTTGGCTGAGCCCAGCCTCCACGCTTATCACCCCCACCATGTGGTTCACTGGGTCTGTTTCCATGACTGCAAAGTTGAAATGAGGTTCATCGAAGGCTAGTGGCTCTGATGAAGGGAGAGGCTTAGATATCCAACTGATGTGAAGTCTCACACTGGAGGAAAGTGGTGGGCTGCCATTGTCAGTCGCTTTGACCTGCCAAGAGAGAACAGCACTAGCTTACAAAGACAAGTATGTGAACATGCAGGAGGATTGCACTACTGAGCTGTTTGCAATGCTTTCAACTATATGTCAGCATGCATGTTGATTTTTGCACTGCATCTTTCCAAATCCCCCAACCAGCATGCGTCTTTCTCCCAAGAACGAGACTGGAAGCAGTTAACAACATCATTAAAAACAATATATGTAGCCCCCGCTTTTCAACAATTCATTTTTGGACATGCTGCTGTTTTGAGTCCCTTCCTTCACTCTTTTGACCACTGCTTTTTTTAGCATGAGGTTGTTTTTCCCTCCCAGCTGACTCAGTGCCATCTAGTGTTTAGTTTTCCATTTGCAAGCTAAAAAACCCAGGGTTCCACTATTCGATAGACTCAGTTTTCTGACAGTGGTCCAGTCTCTAACCCAACAAATAAGTGTGGACTTCCTATACAGATTAAAACTATAAAAAATCTTCAATAACAGTAGCAATGCAAACATTATTATGGAAAAAAATTAATATAAAAAGTTCAAAACATTAAATATTAAAATTAATTAAATTCATTTAAACCAATGTGATTTTTCCAGGATTTACAAAGCTGTTGAGTCTTGCCTGGCTCCTCATTACAAGCAAAACCGAATATACATATGAGTCTTGCTAGACAAGAGGAAAAGATTTATCTAATCTAGAATCTATTTTCTAACAACCATCAATCAGATGCCTTCAAAAAGCTGTTGAATCTCTTTGTTCCCCAACAATAACAATCTGCTACAGTGATTTTTGCAACTAGTCCAAAACTTCCCAGTCTCCCTCACACCTTTGCCAGTTCAGCTTCTCCATCGCTCATGGATGAAATTTTTCCTTCCCCCTTCTAATCTTATTCTATCTTGCCTTGAGTCGCAGACTATATGAAAGCCAATCAAAACTGAAAAAATCGATTTTCATCTGCAGAGTACAAATTCATTTTGTTTGTTTCACAGTTGGCATGCAAGAACTTTTTGACTATCCCTTAATGGCATAATACATATAACGAAACCACTTCCAACACTTGGGATGGGGGAGGACTACCAACTCTCTCCGGCCATCTTCCTACTTCTCACTTACTGTCAATATGTTATATTCTTGGGCAGGAAAAGCTTTTCTGGAGAACACCATGCCGGTCATTGCTTGGATTGTAAAGAATCCCTCATTGTTTTCTTCAAGACTGTAGGTAACTTGGGCATTGGGGCCCTCATCGCGATCAGCAGCAATTATTCTGCACACTGATAAAGGGGTCTCAGATGTTGCTTTTTCTGGTAGCTGAACCATAAAGAATTTTTGGGAGAAGCTGGGCGCATTGTCATTGACATCTATGACCTGGATTACTATTCTGCTGGTAGATTTCAATTCTGGATCACCATTGTCTGAAACAGATACCTGCAAAGAAAGGACAAAGTAGTCTATTACAACTTAAGACACAGAATGGCCTAGGACAGTGATTCCCAAACCTTGGTCTTCCTGCTGTTTTGGACTTCAGCTCCCAGAAGCCCTAGCTGACTTGGTAAACAGTCAGGAATTCTGGGAGTTGACGTCTGCTGGAGGGTGAACATGTTTTGTTATTCTGGCAGCAACATAGTAGTCTAAACACATGACAGAGTCTCTTCAGTATGTCTTTTTGTTTTGTTTTTAGTTGGCGAATTCTGGCTTACTGTTGGCCTATGAATCCTTTTGACATTGTTATGCTTTAATTAATTAATTAATTAATCAATTAAATTATCTAAATAATTTATTTAGATTTATTTGTTTCAATGATAAAACAACTAATTTGTGCATCACATTTCTGGAAGTCAACTAGGCCCAAATAAAAATCATTACCAACCACTAACCATACAGGCTGGTGTTGTAAGTAGTTATAATGCAACACATCTGGAGAGTCTTCAGCTGAGCAAACACACAGGTGCTTATTTTGTTTAATGGCAGGAAACTATTTGGCTTCTATAGTCTGTGCAGTTTTGCAGATACTTTCATCTTCAGTTAGAAGCCAAGCCACAACGTATATCTAAAGCTGGCATTGAGGACTAGACTCAGAGAAATGCAGAACAAGCAATTATGTTTTGAACCAAGGGAGTCTTTTCCCTTCGCCTTGTGTGCTCTGACTTGCAAGGAAATGTTCTTTGAAGGTTTACCAATTAAAAAAGAAAGCAAGAATGAAAAAAAGAAAAGAAAATGCGAACCACTGGCAAGTGAATCAAGCTAATTGAAACTTCGTCATCACTCACTTCTAAGATATGTTCAGCCTTGTATTCACGATCCAGCTGCTGAGAAGTGGTATAAATCAGACCTGGCAGGAGAGAAAAGATCACTGTTGGATCCAAGTATTGAATTGTAATCCACATGATGCCACACATTAACACTCACCTGCTAGATCAACGTGAGCCAACCTCAAAAGTGATACCACCCTTGGGCAAATCCATGATAAGTGAAAGAAGTTCATAGTTAAAAACACTTCCTGCCTCCTGGCCATGGCATTTTTCCACACTTTTAACATGAACTGTCAAATGCCCAGTGTTAATATTTTTGAATTGTATTCTCATGATCAACTGATTTTAGCACTTCTTTCTACAGAAACACCATTTTAAGTTTTAGAATTGAGAGTACAATGAAATGATTTCAGTATGACATAGAAACTGGTCCATCCAGCTCAACCTACTGACTATCAGTGGTCTCAGAAAGTGGACTTTCTCAGACCTATTAGATGGCAAGGAGTCAGACCTCCTCTATGGAAGCCATGTAACCGAGGCCTTGCTCAATGCATTACTGAAAAGTATGAATGTTTGTCTTTAAAATATACGTGGAAGATTTTATAGACACAAACAAAACATTCGCCAACATTTGTGTAAAGGTATGCCATGAATCATTTGGCATTTCAAACAAATTTAGATTTCTCAAGGAGTGATGAATAACTAGGGTACACATCTACACTGATCACTTAAATCAGTGCAAACTGGTATCTAAGAAAATGGTTTTCTTATGCAGATGATGATCAACACATGCAAATCCTGGAACCATTTTGAGGCCCAATGGTGATTACAGTAACTACGGAGTACTGAAGTGTATTAAGGTCTTTCTTTTGCACACTTTTGTGGAAGTTTGTTGTCTAGCTTTTGCAGTTTGAAGCTGGTTTTGAACTACATTAAATGGTTAGTTTAGATGAGACCTGAGTTGTGATCTGGGTAATGCAGAGTCCTCTAGAGGGCCCATCCATTTCCTTCGAACTGTATGATTCAATATTCCCTTTCTAGGAAGCCACTCCCGATATTTCAAAGTCTCTGCCTTCAGGAAACAACTCAGAGGCTTTAAACACATGCCTCAGCAGGTTGCCTTTGAAGGGTAGGTAGGGATTTTGCTTCCACCTTTTGCTTTGCCTACCCTGTATTGACTCTCCATGGCAGCTGTATGGCAACTGGTTTAGTGTGGTGACGTAAATGAATTGGCGTAATTGGCTTGAGTAAACTTACTGTTGAGTGGTTGGATTATTTGAGTTTCTAATTGGTTCAACTGGCATTTAATTGGCTATTACTGGCATCTGGCAGCCACTTTTCTAGGAAAGGGGGTCCTTGGACAAACCATGGGTTCTGCACTTGAATGTCTTCTTTTGCATTTTAGGCTGAGTTTGATTTCTCTTACTAAAATAAGAGAGCATTGGTCAGTTTTGGGCCCATAGACAGAGAAGATATGGTATTTATTGGAGATCTAAATAAAAACTTTGAAGCAAGCCTTAGAAGAACATTTTTGTGGAAGGGGCTGGCACTTTACAATATTTAGGGTTAAGTTATGATGGAAATTTTATGTTGAATATACATTTAGCTAGCAATAAATTGATAAGTAGTAAAATTATCAATCTGTAACAAAGGGGGTTTTAAATTTAAAATTAATTCAATTAATTAAGCATCTAGTCAGTTATTTCTGATTTTAACCTTTTTACAATCAAAGACAAAAGCTACATGTTGTATGGTGCTGAAAGATTGAAAATGTTGTTGCTCAGACACTTCAAAATAAGTTAATAAGAATGATTCTTGAATATTCCCTTGGAAGAATTGGAGTAGCTAGGATCAATCTGTTACACTTCAGATACTCATAGAGGTTGAATGGAATGGAGAGAATGCAGGGTGCCTGTCTCACCAAGCTTTGTTGGCTCAAATTGACATTTGAAGACTGGGCAATTATGGACAAGACCTGGCAAGGAAACACAGTGTCGATTTCCTTCTGCCCCGAGGAACTGGGTCTTTGATCAGAATGCAGACAAATAAAGAGGAAGCATCAATGGTTCTTGTTGCTCATTCAATTTGTTAAGTTCAAAAGAAATCATTTGTAGAAATTGACACAAATATCACTATTATAATGAGCAATTAAAGGCACTTAAAGCAAGGTGTTCTAATCATCAGCTGAAACAAAATTCATTTTTCAAATGGCTTTCCAAATGAGAACACTTCTGTTGCATTTCCCCCGCATCCGAATCAGGAATAGTTATCCGCACAAGGTGAGAGATTCCATCATCAGCATGGCTTAATAGCCTGTCTTAATTTCCAGGTTGCCTATCCAGCCATGTAGTACACTGATCCACCTGGCACAACCTGTTGGAGTTTAGTTGCTATGTTGAATGATTCTTGAAATCCTATTAAAATATTCTTTTATTAAATGGGGACATTTTACTGATATGAAAACAGCTAGACATTAAAAACATAATATTATCAAGTTGTAGGTTTTTTGCACTGTACAGCCATGTTCTAGAAGCATTATCTCCTGACATTTTGCCTGCATCTATGGTAGGCATCCTCGGAGGATGCCTGCCATAGATGCAGGCAAAACGTCAGGAAATAATGCTTCTAGAACATGGCCATACAGCACGAAAAACCTATGACAACGCAGTGATTCTGGCCATGAAAGCCTTTGACAATACATAAATATTATCTGTTGTAATAAACAAATCCAATTCTAACACCCGTTCAAGGCACATGCCTCTGTATTCTACCATATACAGCAACAACTTATATATTCTATTTGTCCACATTGTTCAAATAGTGCAGTGCTACATTAGAAATGTTATGGCTTGGGAAAAAAAATCTCTAGAAAGAAAATTGCTCCATTTTCCATGTAAAGTTTTTAAATAGGAAAAGGGGGAAGTTAAAACAAAAACATTAAATAATAAAATGATTTGGGAATATTTTCTTTTAGAATGAGGAATTAAATGCTTAAGATGTGGTGTGTATATTTACTTCCGCAAAATTATTTCTAAAAATTATATATATAAAAAAGATATTATTATTAGAGAATGTATAGCATTTCATTATTGTAATTTCTAGGTTTTTGTTTCCCTTTTATCAATTTTTTCATTACTTTTTTTTGCCAGTTCCTAATAAACCAGCAAAGTCAAAGCGATCCCTTACAGTTCAAGATCTTGCAGCTTGATTTGTAACGAAAACATTTTTTAAAGAAGTAATTTTTGTGTGACTCAACTGTACCTTTAATATACTAAACAGGATGGTTTTCTGCCAAACAGATTTGCATAATTGTATTGAGATGCACGTGTGTGTGTGTTCTTAAAATGATTTTCAATTTGTAATGAATTTTTACATTTCTTGGGGAGGGGAGAGAATTTGGAAATGTTTCATCTCTGTGTTGTACATGTCTACTCAGAGATAGATTATGTTATTTTAAAAAGAACTTACCTTCAAGTAAATATATATATATAATATAGGGATGGAATTTTATTTTATTTGTTTAAAACTTTTATATCCCTATCTTCTCTACCTCCGTAGAGGGACTTAGACCAGCTATGGAAATTTGACCCCTTGAAAGACATACACAGGAAGAAAAACAGCACATTGAAAGTTCCTGCAAATTGCAGAAAATGCTTTTTTGTTGAAGCTGTTCCCAACACAACATAAACCATGCACTTTTTGGGAACTGCACAAGAGTTTGGGAAACTGCAGCTTTGCAGAAAAATTGCACTTGCTGTCTTTTTGCTTTGCCTATAAAATTGCACAGCTTTCTGAGAAAGAAAATCCACAGGATTACAATATTTTTCTCTATGTACTTGGAAGAAGTCCACAAATATATATATATATATATATATATATATATATTACAGGCTATAACCCTATGCAAACAATGAGTGTAAAGGTGTGAGATTGCAGCTGAAGCAGGAAAAGAAACTTGGGCCAATTGAGGCTGCACCTATACATGAATGCTTTGGTTTTGCTTTTTGTTTGTTTTTTTAAAGACTGCAGATTACAACATAAAAAACAATAGTCTTCCACAACAAAAATGCACACAAAAAATCTTCTGCAAAATGCTGCACTACTGTACTACAAACAGCACTGGAATTGTTTTTGGTGCTAACTACACAATTTGAATATTATGATTTACTTTGTGCTGAAAGTGGTGCAGCTTTCATGGAAAAACTACAGTCTCCTATCACTGCAGGGTTAAAATAAGGCCTGAGTACCACAACACTATTAGATGAAAACCTATTTCATTGTTTTCAACATCCACTGGGCCAATGGATAACCATGGGCAAGGCACTTTCTAGTTCTAGAAGTAGCAGTTCTGCATTTGTCCTGCCACCCCCTCCCCCATCCTCCTTATAAGTCAGGCATGGATATCTAGTGACCTACTAAACTGAATGCACTCCAGTAACCATGTATGGCAGCTAGCATGCCAAAAGTCAGGTAGACCCCTTGTTTTCACTACTGGCCTGGCACTGTTTTTTAAAAGAGTAGTCCCTAGCTGGCTACTACAGTATCTGGCGAGTGGGCTGACTTTGGCTTAGCAAATCAAAGATATAAAGAGAAGAAAAATCCATGGGAATCAGCACAAACTATATAGCTCCAGAGATTGTGATGTCAGTATTTGGAACAGACTCTAGTTAGCAGCCCCTACTTGTTCTTTACTTTCTCCCTCTCAGGGATTAGGACTATAGAAGTTTTGAATCTCATTAGAAATTGCATTTAAAACCAAAGTTGGCAATGTGTTACAACAAGCTGCGCTTAATGATCTTGGTGTCTGGTGTGTTGTTTTTTCTTCCATCCTCCATCTAAGCATGAACAGAAGATCCCAAGGGCAAGGACGAAACTATAAAGGAATGTTTGCTTATGCCCCTATTCATGGAAATGAAGAAGGCTTCAGGCGAAACACTTAAGCGTGTGGTCTCTGAAGTACAGCCCAAAGATCTTTTGCTAACTTAGATCTTAAACACTGGGCCATGACTCATGCTGAACAGGGAGTCTAAAGAAGGATGGGTACAGAGATACCTGTTGGCATGTATTTTTACAGATGTGC